AGGGGATCACTTTTGTTTGCCTTTTGTTACGGCTGTTGGGTCTTATCCTCTAGATCAAGACCAATCAATTGGTTCGATAAGACCGTTGACGATAAGTCTGACATCTATAGACTTCCTGATATAAAGGACAAGTCTGTCTTCTGGATCTGAGATGCACTACCCCCTTCTAAGACAAGTAGGATTGAGCTGAGCGTCAAGTTGTAGAGAATAAGGTATATTCAGCTAGGTCAAGCTGAGGACTATCTACTACATTGTATGGTATATATATAAGTGTAAAAGAAGCATGATGAGTAATGCTTCTGAGAAGGATAAGCGCTATTGGTAGTTATAAATGAAGCACTGATTAATAGTGGGAAAGTTAGATGTAATAATAGGATCGGTGGGAATGGAATGGAGGGAAAGAAGATATAAGGGAAAGAGATAGTCCGAAGGTTAGATAATACAGGATAAGATAAGATAATGAAAGGAAAAGAGAAACCATAACACCTTGCACCCTAGATGCCCTGGCCTCTATACAGTTGATCTCACTGTGTACACTGTCCTCCCCTTATTGTGCCCCAACACTACACTCCCCTTACAGTAACAATATTTCAATACCCTCCTGGATCTAATATTTGCAATTAAGCCCTTTCTCTCTCTGAGTTCTTCCTCCCCTAAATTGGTTGACCTCACTGTGCATATTTTCCTCACTCATGGACACTCAATACAACACCTCCCATTACACCCAGGACAATGCAGAAGCCTTCCCCTCTATCTTGTACCAAACCTGTCCTCTTTTGACTGGACACTGGAGTTTGCTGATACTTAAAGTGTGAGGGTTGGGGTATTTCATGATATGCTAGGCATGTGTTATCAAGGGGGAATTGAGGGTTGTGAAAGGCATATTGTCACATCCTATATTAAAGTTCCTTTCAGGATAACATATTTACTTTGAAACTCAGGAGAAACATATATTGTAGAAACAGCCCTTCTACTTCTAAAATTATATCACCTAATAGTATTATATGGTTCCATGATGTACAGAAATGTAAACTTGCAAAATACAGAGCTCAATGCACAGAGGCCAAAAAAAGCAACAACTTTAATATATACTCAAAAGTAATCACTAAATTTATCACCCTGTCTGGACTCGTATTGCCATGCACAGCACTGGCCCTCAAACCCAAGTATGTACAAGGTGTCACGTTGTATCCTTGACGACGGCTCTTATCTCGCCAGCATCATCCCAGTTGCTAATATCTTTCAAAGTGTTCATTTGCTTCCAAAGTTTGGTCCTGTGGCCGCTCATGATTGGTCAAGTAGCAATGTACTCGAGCGGTGTAAAACATTTTTTGCAAACTCATTCACTGATAAGCATCTTTATAGAATTCTCCGTTAGCATCTGTTCAAACCTCAGTAGTACTAGACTTAAAAACACAACCCTGTTTTTCATGCAATATGACTAAATTTCAGTAAAAAATCACACAAAGGAGTAGATTATAATACTACACTATGCAATCTGTCCAAATGTTCCAAAATCTCGAGGAATATTGGCTGAATTTTCAAAATATGCAAATTCTTGCAATATTTGGCGAAAATGGCTATTGAGGTTTTGATGTATGGAGCACTATACGGTTGACCATAGGCGACCCTGACTTTGCTGACGACCTGTCCCGGATCGGAGCGGGCCTAACACCTCTGGAGGCAGATACCCACAAAACCGCATCTTCGTGACATCATGGATAGAGAACTAGATCAGCGACGAAAACGGGCGTACTTTGTTCGTAAATCCGAAACGTATTCATTGATGCTTAATCTTTCTCGCAATACGTAGGGTCATTGAACATAACCAGAATCCTACACACACACACGCACACGCCAAATGTAACTTGTAGCACACCCTTTCGGCAGGTATGATGGGGACCAGGGGTTCGCCAGGTATGGTGAGGCTGAATGGAAGATAACAGCCGATATACCCGCTGATGGTTGGAAGGCAACACATACGCTATCTGCTAGCTCCTTGCTCCTCCAATGGATCGTAAAGCCTTTCTTTGGTCACGGGTGATGGCCCGTATTCTCCAACGAACCTGTAAGCTCGGCATCATCACCTCCTCCCTCACCTAAGCCCATGAGGCTCAGACGCTGAGAGTGCTTCCATATATTCGGGATCCATACCACCTGAAAGGTTAAAACTTCTGCCAGCTTAACAGTCCTAAAGAAACCTGGTAGGTTTACTAGGGTCATCAAAACAAGTCAAACTTACCTCCAGATTCAAATTCTTTCGCTTTGAGTTTATCCTTACTTGTTTAACCTTATTTTGGGAATCACCCGGTGTATTACTGGTCCTATATTTCCCCTTGTAATTTACCTTTGTTCATTTCCTCTGAGTTCCTCTTGTCGTCACTTTTCACTTCGATGATCTCCTCGGTGGCTGTAACCTTCACGCGACCTTGGATACTCGCGGCGCTTCATCATCCGTCCGATTTTTAGTTACACTGGTCTCCCCATCTCCTATTTCCATGAGGCATCCCGTGTCTTTCCCAATTTTCGCGAATACCCGGCTGTTAGCTAGCTCCCGTCCAACTCTGTTGTAGCGACGAGGGCCCGAGTTGGCCCGGAACCGGGAATAGATATGGGAGGTATATCAGTGTGAAAACCGGTACGCAGCCGTTGATGTTTTGTCGTCGTTGCTGTTGGGGACCGGTTGTAGATGCCGGACGGTACGATATACAATGAACTATCAACTTTTGAATTCACTTCGTTGTTTGAATTGGCTGCGTTGGAAGGACTGAGTTTAAACTTTGGAATTGTCGGACGTACACGCACAGGTCCTTCAAATTTCGTGTTCTAGTTGGAGAGAATGAACATTTATAGTTTGAATACGAAGTTTCGACAAGCTAGGAATGGGATCAGGGCCAGTCACGCGGTCACTTCATGTAATCTATTTCAACAGGAGTCCGGGCGTGGACCTTTATTATGTTGATGATGCGGATTAACAATATGTCCCTGCTAGTATATCGGTTTAGTACACGCGCCTGTCACTAACTGACGATCCGCGCGAGAGCTGGGTTCGACTCCCAGGCGGGGAGAATCTTTTTTGAATTTCAAATTTTGTATCTATATCCATTTTGTGGAAGACGGTCATGGTGGAAATTTAACTCCCGACGCTAGAATTCTGGATTCTTAGTGAATCAAGGTTTTGAGCCATAACTACCTCGAGCGAAAATATAAATTCATTCTTTCGAGTGTCGTTCCATTTGCCTCTTTACCCGAGTTTTCAACGGATAACCTCGTTTTAATTTCAAGTGATCCTCTAAACCAAACGTTAATCACATGGTAATAAGGCTTAGAGCCCCCAAGGCCAAGTTTAACGTTTAAGGCTCACCTGTAAGTTGGCATTTCGGTGTTGAGTTTGAACATTTTTTTCATAATTTGCGAAAGGGAATAAGGGCACCTCACAAGCTCTTACTGGTGCCAACCTTCGGACAAGTATACCTATCTGGCGTCTCGAATCTCAACAGTTTTTCTAATATTGACCATTGTGAGGAGTTCTGGATGAAATGTAGAAGTTAGCTTTAACTCGGGCTATAAAGAACATCACCCTCGTTTCATGGTTCGACAGTAGTTACTCAAAAATGGCAAGCAATGTACAAAAGATCCGCTTGTTACCACATTGGGACAGAAAACAAAAATTGTACTCATCTCGCTGGCGTCTCTCGACACCAACGTGAATTTCGGCTGTATATAACACCCCATAAAATAGCGGCCGTAACACAGCTAGTCATACGTCGAACACGTTCACGTAAACGGTAAATAGCTTCACAGTATTCAGAAAACAAAAACAAAGCCAGAATTTTAGGACAGGTCACTCACACTGCAGTACGTTCAATGGACACTGCCGAAACCACGTCCCCCGCCGCCATCAACCCTTCAGACCCTGCACGCCGTTTCAGAAAGAACAGGCAACAGTGCCTCAGCGCGCCCTCCCCTAAACCTAAACCAGTAGCAAGGTCGAATATAATCTTGATCAACGATTATGGGCATATTCCCGAGCACGTATTCCAAACAGAGTGGTGTCGGGTTACGAGTGCCAGGTAATCGAATGTTCTCGCCAGCTCAACGCGACAGTGAACCAGAGGTGTTAATTGCCGAGTGAGTCGGCAAACATTGTCCGGATCGGCTTCATACCGGCCTGATGCGGCGAGCACTGCCTCTGATCATCTTTGATCCCAGATCCTCCATTGTTCAGCGATCGAGTAGTAAGCAATTCAGTTATTTGTCGGGAAAATCCTTGTAAGGTGCTTAGCTGCTGCGACTGACATTGCCTCAGTCGGGAAACTGTACATTTAAAATAGCACCGCAGCTTGTTTTGGCGCATTAAGCCTTTCGGGAATAACTACAAAAGCATAGAACAAAGGCTTATTTTGACGCTCGTAAGTAATATTTAACAAGAGCACGAGTCACGCTAACTCCTCACAAACACCCACGATCTCAAACATCATCACTTACCATCTCAACGTCGCCAATACCACAAAACACCTGGCAATATGTCAAGGTAAGCTCACTCGACGCTTGGCCATGTCTGTCAAACTTGGTTGACCGTGACGCATTGTGGCACTAGCCAACAACCCAGCATTGAGCCATTGTCTACAGATCGCGATAACGCGATCGCACCTTCGCAACAGGCAGTTTCCAGGTATGAAGTCAACAAACTTGGTTTGATAAATCCAGAGGACTCAGCATCTCCTCAGCTCGGTGCAGAACCTTGCTGATAGAAAGGTGGATGACGATTATGAGTCTGAAGAGTGAGTCTCGGAAAAATCTCGAGGTTATCAGTTGGTTGATTAGTATCCGTAGAGAGTGGGAAGATACCCCTCCGTCGTCAGTTTGGAGCCTATACTCTATTGTGATTGAATGCTTATACACCCCATTGCAATTAGACATCTAGACTATCGGGGGAAGCAGGACCGCCCGAATGTCGGGGCTGCAACGAACACGGCCGATGGTGGAAAAAAGAAACCAGTAAAATAACAGGGTAACCTACAGGCGTTACAATGGGGGGGGTAATTGGGAGTATCTTTGCGATTTTGTATGATATCTTGTTCTTCTTTCTCCATTAATACAAACATACAGTCCTTATTTTTGATTGTCTAGAAGCTATGCTTCTATCGTAATGATCAACGGAGGTCTAAACGCTAGGAGTTGCAGCGCGGAACGTCATTAAACAGACCGCGACGCCCATGACACTGTCATTAGTTTTCAACGGATAGACCTTTTTTCGGATCAACTAATTCAAAGTTGTAGCGTTGGTTACGGGCACCGCGGAGAGATAATGTATTTGATGTAGCGTGTGCCCACTGCTCCACTCAAAAACAGCAAACAAGCTAAATTTGACCCCAGGTAGCCCACGACATATCTAAGCGATGTCAGACCTCAAAATACTTATGAGAGATTATTTTAAGTGATTTATTTAGAAAGCAATCTGAAACAGCTCAGAATGTCCTACTAGGCACGGGTCGAGGGGAGCATTGACTTGATGCAAGGGGGCCCTATGGAGGCGGTATTGTCAGCCCGGCTATTCTAATTCTATTTTTATCTTGATCTCCGTTATGTTATTATTATTTCTTCCACGTTAGTACTCTACAAGATCGACCCTAACCAACATAAAGTTCTTATAGCTACTACGCGAGTGCGTAGCCCATGCCGAAACCCTGCACCCAATATTAATTAAAATGTTTGCCACCATGATCACCGGTGGCAGTGATGAGTGCTCTCGTGATTATTCCCACCGAGCCCAACACCTCGCGATACTTCAGAATCGGAAACCCAGTTTTTCCCAGGACACCCACAAAGAAGACACTATGTCAACAGTCAATAACACTTCTAGTATAGCAGACATTGAACAGTTGACAAGGTGGAGTGCCTCGTCCATTACAGCAAGGATGATTGTTTGTTAAGCTTGGTTAACCACGAGCCGTCACAGTCAAGAAGTTACATTTCAGTCAGGCTCCACAAACAACGACATCGCTTCCTCTTCCAAGACCAGCCATGTAGCCGGGTAAGGAGACTCTTAACAAGGCCGGCCCCGTAACTTCCGAAGACCCATCTCACGATAACACAGCCCGCGGAAGGCGACCCACATATTACCGATAAGAAAGAGGGTGATGATGGCGTCAATTCTGGGGGGTGAGTTTGAGTATGGGTCAACCACCTATGTCCAGAGAGTGGGAAGATACAACCCCATCATCAGTATTAACATCGTATTTCTTGCCCTCGTATATTTCTCTTATTAAACGCAACGAGACACTTGGAACACAGTGGAAGGCCAGATCGCCCAGCTCAGGAGGTTAGGAAGAGTTCGGCCGACGATGGAAATGGGAGGCTGAAAATTTGACATGGAGATCCTCCTGTGTGTTATCAGATGTGTTTGTGTTCCCAGCCATCCCCTGTCGTTTGGTTCGTACACAACCAATTGACTTTACTGGATTTGATGGAATAGAAGCCGCCTTCACTTCTTATCCTACCGAGACATAAGGATCGACAGGGGGGTGAATGGTTGACACTCCGCGTTGCTTTTCGGAGTAGGCAAGGACCGAGTACGTTCATCACGGAACCTTTATTCCGTGTCAAACGATGAGATAACTTTGGCCTTGGAGTCTTTGACCACCTTCGATGGAAAAATTCCACGTTGTATGATTATCTTGAAAGAGAGGGGACCTCCGTAAGTCCCTTATCATGGAGATGGAGACAATCAGCAAATACTCTGCTTCTTACTAGCTTAGATGTGTTAAAGCCTCACTAATGCCCATTATAGAAGTCTAAAGACCCCTAAGGTGGCCAAATTATTGTTGGGTGGCATTCATTGAAGTATAGGCCCCTGTTTGTTAACTGTATGGTTATGATTGAGGACCGTTGCCCCGTCGGGGTTCAAGAGAGTAAAATTTACGTACGCACAGTGATAGAATCAAGTTTTGCTGGGCTTCGCGGAGTGTAAAGGAACTCATAGGAGCTATAGACTTGCAAGTTCTATACATTTCCTATATGACAGAAGTTTAGCCTTGACGTATAGGAGTTCCCACCATTCGCCATCTAAAATGAGAGTTACTGACGATGATACGCCATATAGATGAGTAAAACATGTAGCAAATAAAGCCCTGAAGCTCCCAAAGTGGGTATAAATGATCCTCGGGAGTTTAAGTTCACACCATAATTCGAGATTTTAATAGTATCCGAATCGATGATGCTGGTGCTTTAATCTCCTGCTACCGCCAGAATCTTATTCTCGGACTCTTTGAGAGCCACATGTTGTGATTGGTGGAGTGAGGATCTAGGTGGGCTCGGCATCCAGGGTGTCGGAGTGTGCCGCCAGATAGCTAATGATATTTACCAGGCGTCTGTTCAGAAGGGTCAACTCATCGTGGTTGGTATCTATGTTCCGGAGACTCTAATTTGCGGTCCTAGATGACTTGGAAAAATGTCGTTAGGCAAAATAAATGCCGTCATGCATCCTGAAACTACTGAGAAATTTCAATAAAATTAGGTCTTCGGACTCCAGGGACCTACCCTGGTGCCACCGGACCTCATTTAAAGGCTTTAATCACGGAGGTAACGCCACCCAGAATGGCATGAGCGTAGGGACGTAGGAAAGAGCGTGTTGGAGCGAATTGATAGTGGTACAGTCTCATGTGCACCCACCCAGATTAGGGGTCCTCGTTCTTTTCCTACAAAAATAGAGTACATCATCTAGGTCTTGCGGTCGAGATCAAGAACTCTTATAGTTATGGTTAAGGTTAGAGAGGGCGAGGGAAACACACCAAAAGAATCGATGCACAGCCTTACGTTCGTGTTTCAGCCGTCCTTGATATCGCGTACACCATCTGCCCTCGGTGCAAGTTGGCCGGTGATCCGTGAGAGGATATCGATTTCAGGCCACAGCGGAGCGGGAGTTTCTCGCTAAACGGGACTTGTGCACAGGCACTCTTCCGAAGTAAGCAAATCGAACCTGACCCTTCAGAGCTACACAAGGTACCCTCCATCGGAAGCCACCTGTTAAGGGATCGTCTGATCGCTGTTTCAAGTCACGGTCCTG